AATCTGCAGGCTCAATATCAGTAGAAAATGTTTTCACAGTTGATATTGTTTGCTCGATCTTCTATACAAAATTAAATTAAACGCGTAAATTTCGTGAACTATATGATTTTTTCGTTTTTAACGTACCTTGCCTGAAGTTGTTGTGTTTAAAGCGCGTTGTCGTCTCGTTAACATTAATGATGTTCGGTTTTTTTGCGTTTTTGATGATAATTTGGTATTTTGGTTATTCTTTTCATTCACCGTACTTGCATGAGTATGCTCAAATGCAAATAAGGCGGTTTTCGATTTTGACCGAGTTTGCATTTTTGGAACGTAACTTTTACAAATTAAATAATTTTAAAAAAAAGATGAGATGCAACGTGCTTACAATTTCAATTTGTGACTATGCATATGCTATCAATCGATCACCATGAAGTTGAACCGTATAAAAATTGACAGCTGCTCACTTCAAGTGCATTAAGTTGAATCGAATAAAATGATCATGCAGAATTCTCAATTTTTCAAATCAATAATAATAATAATCTGATGAATATTTCAACACATATAAAGCGTCTGCAGGAGCCGTTGGCTATTTTTTTATTTTGAAATTCGGATTGTTTTAGTTAAATATATAATAAAAGTGTGTTGAATATTTTTATTTTATCGAACCCATAAAGTGTCTGCAGGAGCCGTGGGCTATTTTTTATTTTGAAATTTGAATTTTTTTCATTTAAATATATAATAAAAGTGTGTTGAATATTTTTATTTTATCGAACCCATAAAGTGTCTGCAGGAGCCGTAGGCTATTTTTTATTTTGAAATTAGGATTTTTTCAAATAAATAAAAAGTTAAATAAGTACACCAGTTATTATAAGTTAAACATTTATTGAAACATTGAACTATATATTTAAGGAGAAAATAAATTGGTTTTAAAATTCGTATTTAAGTCAATTAATGTAAAGTAAAAAAAACTGTTCATTTTAAAATTTCTTAAAATATGGTGTTTTTTCTTGATTGCGATCAGACATTGTATCTATTCATTTAGATTTGTCTCATTAAGTTTGACAACTTTCAAGTATAAATTAGATTTAATTTTACTAACTTTCAGTTTTTTTCGTTTTTATTTCTAAATGAACACGAAATCTATTCATTTAGATTTGTCTGATTAAGTTTGATAACTTTCAAGTATAAATTAGATTCAATTTTACTAACTTTCGGTTTTGTTTTCGTTTTTACTTTTAAATGAACACCGAAATCCATTCATTTAGATTTGTCTCATTAAGTTTGACAACTTTCAAGTATAAATTAGATTTAATTTTACTAACTTTCAGTTTTTTTTCGTTTTTACTTCTAAATGAACACCGAAATCTATTCATTTAGATTTGTCTGATTAAGTTTGATAACTTTCAAGTATAAATTAGATTTAATTTTACTAACTTTCGTTTTTACTTTTAAATGAACACCGAATTGATTTTTAATGACAAATATGTAAGTGAATGTTCGGATTATTATATGTAAGTGAATATTCGTTCTGGTTTAAGAAATAACATTGATTGAATGTTTTTGTTTGTTTTGATATTGTTGGAATTGAAAGAAAATTGTAAAGAAAAAAAAACATTCCTAGAATCTCTAATCCTATTCATAGTCTTCTAGTGTGACGTCAAACACAACTGTCGACTTGGCTGGGATGACTGACGGTATACCTTTGGCACCAAATGCAGCTTTTGGGGGACAGGTGATACGTCGTTGTCCATCGCGTTTCATACCTTCGACGCCAATTGATAACCCTTTTACTTGGTCCTTTGCGCCGATGATGAATGTAATCGATTTTTTAGGAAGTACAAGTTTAGCATCAACAAACCCCGTATAAACTATGTTCACCTTGTCTCCTTTCTTCATTTTTCTTCCTCTACCACGTATCAAATCTTCAATCTGAACGTCGAGTTCCAACTTTTCATTTTCACTCGAATCAGAATCTTCGATCTTCGCCTTAACCGTCTGGGATGCTACAAGTGAAAAAAAAAGCGTGACATTAAAAGTTTTGCAAAAAAATATTCACACTTTTATAAATTACATCTGGTAGCGGGTGTGTTTTTGGGGTTTGAGACAGTTTTTTCAATTTCACATGATAAATTTCCCGTGCCCATCACTATTCAAAAAGGAATGGAATAAATTTGGATGAATTCATACAACATTTAGATTCGATTTTCTTACCTGATTCATAGTCTTCGTCTGAGATGTTTTCTACATCGGAATTCGACAAATTTTCACGATCATCATGAGCATCATCTAATTTTATACGTTTTGCACCAATCTTCGCATCGTCTATAACGAAATTTGTTTTAGAAAATTCACGTTATAAAATTTTTGTATGTTTTATATTATTATATTATTGAGTTGTATATACCATGATGATCCTCGAAAAATGAACCCGAATCATTCGATTTTTGTTTTTGGTTTTTAAGTAGATCGAGCTTCGGAGGTTGAATGATTTGGTCCGATTTTGTGTGTGGTGAACGAAGCGAAGAAAATGATTGTGAAAATGGATTCGGCGCAAAAGAATTTGGTGCCATATTACTTAATTCGTTGAATTGGAGCTTCTGAATGCCGCCGATTTGATTTGGCTGTTTTGTTTCGTGTTCATCGTCCTCGTTCACCATGAAATAACCAGTCACATGAACTTCACAGTCTTCTCCTCGAATGTAAAATGCCGGCTCAGCACCTTTCGGTAGTGTTGTCGCTGTGTTCACATGAGGCTTAGTTGAAGAAATATGAGCTATTAAAGCTGTTTTTCCTTCCAATTTCAACCATAGTTGACGAAAACCTTCTACACTAGTAACGGGGACCGATGTCACATCCAAAATGACTTGCGAAATGTGCAAGTCATGCATTAATGGTGCCACTGTGTGGCATTTTTTTGCGCTTAATTTCATGTCTAAAATATATTTGATATGTATTAAATGATGCATCAAACAAAAGTAATCAAGTTTAAATAATATTTATACTCACGCCAGAACATATTCACTGCTTTTTTCACTAATATACAAAAACTTATATGGCTGGTTGTGTACCAACAAAGTTGCTTGCTCAGCATTTGTATCGAAAATGCGATATGGGAAAACGCGCAAAATTGATGCACTGGTGAGATAACTCATTTTTGGATACTCACCACGCTCTCCACTGTCAAAGAAAAGTAATCTCACCACTGCATTGCATTCATACATATATTCAGTTGAGTGAAGGAAACAATAATACACACATACAAACTTCACAGGGGCGAATCTGAGTAGTGTGCGCATATATTGGTTCACTCAGTGTATACGTGTGATGCTTGTGCATGTGTATGTTTTTTTCACTAAATAGCTGTTGTGCACTGTTTTGACAACTAGCGACTTGAACAAATAATTTTGTTAACTGGTGATTTTCTTCCAAATATTCGGGACTATCAAACATTTGTTTATTGATAATTTAAAATGAGCCGTAAAGCAAAAAAAGTGAGTATTTCTAAAAAACTATTATTTAATAGTTTTTTTCGTTATATGTTACAATATACGAACCCGAAGAATAAAAAGTTTGTATGTGGCATTTCGAATTTGTGCAATAAAAAATAACACTCTGAAAAGAAATAAACATATATTTACCATATACATACCGTATATATAGAATTGAACTCATCGAGTGATAAGAAAGAATTGTGTACATGATCTGCGTTCATTTTTGTCATATCCTGTATCATACCTTTTATTGACTTATATAAAAGCAATATCAACATTTTCATTTTCAGTTTTATGCGGCTTAGCTATCTTCCGTGTTGATACATGTACATATCATCATCTCACTCTCTTTCTCCCTATATCTCTCACACCCAAAATCACTTGAAAAAAAACATTGCAGCCGACTCATTCCGTTTCGTTTATTTAAAATGAATTGAATTTAATAGCTACTATTCGATGATTTAGTTTTGTAAATGGTGAACAGACAAGTATATCATGCACCCATGATCGAAAACAACCAAATGAATGAATTTTTGAACGAAACACATAAATGCCAACAGATAGATAGAATTAATATAACAACGAATGAGTTTTGGAAAGTTTCAAGGCTTCTAACATGTTCAAGTTAGCACTTATTATTACTTATATACATACATATGTTTATAAGCTGTATATTTTGCAATAGCGAAAACAACAAATATTTTATTTGAAATTCGTATATTTTAATCAAAATAAGTCGATTAAAGTAAAGTAAAATTAAACATTTCTTAACTAAAATTGCATATATAGGTTTTCCCACACTTGAGGTGGATACAAAGTAGCAGTAGATGCCGCATCAAGCCAAAACGAACAAAAAAACGTAATGTTCCATGTGGTAATCCGATGAAAATGTTGAAGAAAAAGATTTGGCGTAAGGAAAAAAGTCAAGCGATTGAAATTTCCACAAATGAACCTCGAGACCTACCTCAAGACGATCTTCTGTGCTGTCCGATTTGCAATCTGACTTTCACTTCAAACAAAAAGTCCAATTTGACACGTCACCTTCGATTACATCGTTCAAAAGTTCAAGTATATCGCTGCTGCACATGCAACCGACCATATTCGACTGAATACAATTTCAGTCAACATGTGGAACGGCGGCATGCATCGGCAATCAGCGAAATACACTATGAACTTGAAGAAGTAGATGCCAAAAGTATTTATTACTATTAGTAGTTTATTATTATTATTATTATTATTAATTTTATAAAATCATTCTTATTATTTTATTCAGTGCGTCCGATTTACCAGAAAATTCAGACATTCAAGGCGTCCGAAACTAATGTTGTACAAATGCAGATCTAACAATCGTTTTGGAAACGCAATGCTGCAGCCTGCACTGTACACAAATAATTGAATATTTTCTTGATTCGATGAAATTTCCGTGACTTTCACGGCAAATGTATTTTGTAATTTAATATGATTACAATGACGTTCAAATGAAATTGCGAATAAAATTCATAACCAATTTTTCTTCAATATGACAAAATGCATTCTTTATATCACTATTTTTTTACTTTAAATTTTAATCGATTTAAAATATTTTCAGTTTTCTTGGCGATAAACAAATATTTGTCTGTTTTCGGTTGTTACTAAAATGAATTTAGTTGTGATTTGAAGATTATCTAAGGTGACGATCAGAATGGTTTTTTTCATGTGAGCTACAGTTGATTTTTTCAGAAAAGTCGAGAAAAGTACATAATTTATGCAGCTAGGTATTTTCTAGTATCATACATATACAATGCATAGGCTATCCATGGAATATGCACAAATTATGTATAAAATAACGTGATGCTTAGTATGGTATATTTCCATTATTTGGGCATTGTCGATGCATAATCTATGCATAGCCATTTATGCATACAACTTTTGAAAAATGTTCATTGGGAATGAATCACTATCATCACCGCATAGACCACATACAAATGATGAAATATCCATATACTTGAAAGATTCAGTCGAAGAAATTGAATCACTCGTAGTACTACTACAAGAACACACTGAAAAAAATACATTTCGTAAGCAACTAAGTAATTTCTTAAATTAAATGATAGGCGGCGGCATCATCACCTATCACCCTACCACCGCCGCCGACGCCGCCGAAACTGATTTTATGCAAAAAATATTTATACGAGGGTCACTATTTAAGTTTTTTCAAAAACATATAAGTAGTAAGAAAAAGCCGGTTCTAAAACGCGATATCAAAATGATATCAAATTGATATCATTTTGATATCGCGTTTTTAGAACCAGCTTTTTCTTACTACTAAACCACCTCCACTCTATAAAACAGAAATTAGCTACATAAAAAAAAAATGAATTCTCTAGATTCCAATTATTTTATACACTTTTATTCATTGAAAAAAATTAGTGAAAAATAGTAAAAATCAAGATTATTTATATCTAAATAAAAAAAAATGAATGAAAAAAAAAGATGATGAAAAAAAATTAAATGTTACCTAAAATGATCTTAAACTAAAAATAAAAATAAAAAAAATAATACTAATTGAGTAAAAGAGAGAGCATATGAATGAGAGTGCATTTATTTATTGAAAATTATGATTGTGAGAAAAAGGATTGAAAATGGGGAAGTGGTATTATTTTATGGTATAAAAATTTTATGACAGGCTAAATTTGATTTAATATCCCTACGACACATCGGACAGCGCTTATCTTCAAATGTAGCCAACGCTCTAACGCAAACAGAACAAAAAACATGATAGCATGGTAAAATCATCGGACAAGATTGCAATAGATCCACTGCACAAACAGCACATAATGGTCTTGCTTTATGCTCTGATTCTTTCAGTGGTGAAGGGTGTATGTATATTGCAGTCGGTGACGAATTCAGAGATTCATGGATTTGTCGTCGTGCATCAGATGCTGCTGATATTGATGATGATGGTTGTGATATAATTGGCGAATTCAATATTTGAAGTTGTGCAGACGCTGTTGCTGATGTTGAGGGTATTGATGTTTCCGACCTTTCTTGTATCAGTTCAGGCGCCGCTGATCTTGTTGAAGTTGGTTGTGGCTGCTCGACAATCGATAAAATTGTTGGTGATGTTGATGGAATTGGTACATTCGATATTTGAGCTGTATCTGATGTTGATGTTTCTGATCGTTCTTGTATCAGTTCAGGCGCTGCTGATCTTGTTGACGTTGGTTGTGGCCGCTCGACAATCGATAAAATTGTTGACGATGCTGATGGAATTGGCACATTCGATATTTGAGCTGTATCTGATGTTGATGATATTGATGTTTCCGATCGCTCTTGTGTCCGTCGTAACCATTCATTCTCTCGTTCTTTAACCTTTTTACATCGATATCTCTTGTGGTTATAGAGACTTGTGATTGACAATTCATGTCCACATTCACAAAGTTTTCTAATTTTTTTATGCACACCATCAGTGTGTCTCTTAAGAACGTATAAATGTTTGCTTTTAAAATCACAAAAATTACATTTGTGCTCCATTTTCTTCAACAGATTTGGCTCAAATGATTTGGAAACTCATTTTTCGACAGATTTATATACACAATTTTTGTTCATAATCTTTTGAGGAAATTTATTCGTTTATTACACAACGAGGTGTTTTCTTTTCTTTTTTTTGTTATCAAAAAAAATTAGTGTGAAAAAGGGTGTAGATAGAAAAATGCAGCGGTGGATCAAAGCACATTTTTTTTTTTTTTTTTTTTTTTTGGCAGGGAAAGAACGTTATTTTTTTTTGTTGTAAAAAAAATAAAGTAATAAAAGTTGAGAAAGGCGGTTGATGAGGTAATTTTATTGACTCATAAATTATGAGTCAATAATACATCATATAAGAAAAGACGCAGATAAAAAAAGTGCAGCGGTAGCTCAAAGAGTGTTAATGAAAGAGTGTGTGAGTGGATGAGAGTGCATGTGAATGAGAGAGCGAATGAATTTCATTTTGATTAAATTTATTCCTCCTAGGTATAGAGGTCCATTGAACCGAAATTTTCGAAAAAATTGAATAAAAATCGAAGTAAATTAAAAAAATTCAAAATTTCTCGGACAGATTATTCGTACAAATCATGTACATACTGTTTCTATCATAAAATAATTGTATATGTTCTGGGCATTTGATAAAACCAAATCTCACCTAGAACGTATAGTAGCGGTCCATACTTGCCCATACAAAATGCATGGAAACCTCATATAAACAGTAAAAAATAAAACAATTCAAAACTGTCAACAGTACACATTCTGAATTTTGCGTTATAAAACGGTGTATATAGAGTAGATTCAGCAATCTAGCAAAGAATAAAAAAGAAAGAAAGTGTGTATACGTGTAAATAAGCTAAGACACACAGACATGATTCGTTCGCTGTCAATCAAAAATGTGGTTTCTGAAGCTGAAATCACCACATTTTATAACAGCA